TTTTTTAAATGGTTGGAATATGACAGACTTTGGTTTCCTGTCTTATTTTTTTATCTAAAATTTTATTTGATTGACTACCAGTAGTACCGATATATTAGGTCTTATAGCTATAAAAAATGTTCATTATGAACTAAATAAGCTATCAACTTTTCCCTTCCCCTTATTTGTGTCTACAAATAAAATTAAGCAAATTCTTGTGTTTATTAGAATGTTGGGTTCTAAAATATTACTTTAAAGATTTGTTATTCAGATTAAGATTTGAGTGCATTTTCGTTATTTACAAAGTTTACAAACTTTTGAAGGCTTCTGACTCACGATTTAAAAAACGATAAATTGTCCAAATTCAGGGTTTTCTCGTTATCGTGGCAACAAGTGTTTTAAGAAGCTTGAAAATAAGGCCAAAGGATTTTTTATCAAGGTCTCTGCTAGACAAAAAAGGAAGACAACCTATTTTTAACCGCGGTGTAATTTATCTATAATAATGATCTTATTATTACAAATTGTGTACTTTTGACGTGCTAAACGAAAATGCAAGGACGCCTCTTTACATCAAATTTGAGAAAAAAAGACCACCGTTTTTTCTTAGCATCGCTATTTTAAATTTTACTCAGAAGTCGGCTCTTTCGAGCATCAGTGTCGTGATTGCTTTAGGTGAGCCCTCTTCACGCAAGTGACACAATCACAACCGGAATGACCTCTGTGACCTGGGGATTCACAGCGAGGCTGTGGCGGGACAATCAGATTCACAGGTGGGTTAAAGATCTTTCATTCTTTTTTGTAAAAGCGTTGATCAAAAGGAGGCCACGATATAGCTCATTGCAGCGTTGTGATGTAATAATTCATCACTTGTCACAACTTAATATTATGACTGTTTAGATACTAGAAAAATCAAAAGACCCTAGTACAAACATGTTGCACATGATGTGCATGTGGGCCCATCGTTATTCGTGAAGTAACTACATAGTCATTTAAAGACCTCAGTCTGATAATAACATGTATAATATTATACATTTGCCTCATTCACCTGCTGTGAGTACAGTACGTAACAGAATTAAAGACCTAAAATTGAACCATCTCCTACATGTAGTATCACTCAGTAACTGTACGTCAGCTGATACAGGGTATCAGAATATTTATAGAGCACAAAATTAGTTTAAAGCTGGTGTCTTTTTTGTGCATCCAGAATTTCAGAAGTCTAGGATACTGTAGATAGCAGGTGGATACTGATAACAGAATAAATATTAAAGTGACCCCTGAAACTATAATATTTATTTACGCTATTTTTTTTTTTTTTTTTTTTTTGGGGGGGGGAGTGGTGGTGTGGAATCCCCCTTGTCTGTTATGAGTTATTGTTTAAACAGGGTATCCACTTTTTCAGCATCCAGACATCCTGCACAGAGCTGCCTATGGGGTGGTATAAATACACAAGTGTTCAGAATGGCCCTTAGACATTGGACATGCTGTTTATTATGGCTCTGAAGTCTAAGTACAGGTTAAGATAGATGCTCCAGAATAGAGACTTCTCAGAATGAATTCTTTTGGAACTTATCCTTTATGATTTCAAGGACATCTGACAATTTCTCATTTAGTAAACCCCTAAAAAACAAGCAAACAAAAATATGAACATGATTGATATCATTTGGATTGCAATCACCACATTGTGTTTGTCACAACAGATTTCTCAATGTCACACCTATAGCAATGTGCCAGCCACTACTCCAGCACACACCAGCGTTCACCAAATACCATTTAATAAGATAGGACCTTCTATACAAAGACCTTCCATCCACAAAGCACCTTTAAATCATGGTGGAGCTCCAACTCAACAGGTCAACATACTAACCACCAGTGTGCCCACAATGAAAGGTCCCACAGGTAGTTCTGCCGGCACTGCTGTTGTTTTTTCCTTCATCAAGTTCTACAAGAGCAACACCAGCAATAAAAAGGTCCCGAGCAACACCGAATTCAAAGATAACAGGTTTAAAGGTAATGTAAGCAACACGGAAACCATCAGCACAATGCAGGCAGCACTGTTAACCAGGATAACTCCAAATAGCACATCAGCAGTGATGGCATATACCAAAGACAACAGGGAATTGCCAGTGATAGAGGCCACAACAGGCACAACACCACTTTATACTATGATAGATGGAACCAGATATCAAAAGACACAATGGACACCAATAATGGATGCCACGACTGGCAGAACACCAGCAACAGCTAAAGATGGCACCAGAGACAATGAGACATCCCAAATGATCGGTAGCGCCACTGAAAATGAAACATCAGCAGTTATAGTTGACACCATCAGCAAAACTCCAGTATCTAGTATAGATGGCACCACAGGCAACATGACAGCATCAGTAATGGGCAACAGGACACCACCCATGATAGACGGTACCATGAACAACAGGACACCATCAATGATAGATGACAACATGAAGAACAGGACACCAGCCGTGATAGATGACACCATGAACAACAGGACACCACCCATGATAGATGACACCATGAACAACAGGACACCACTCGTGATAGATGACACCATGAACAACAGGACACCACTCGTGATTGATGGTACCATGATCAACAGGACACCACCCATGATAGATGACACCGTGAACAACAGGACACCACTCGTGATTGATGGTACCATGAACAACAGGACACCACCCATGATAGATGGTACCATGAACAACAGAACACCACCCATGATAGATGACACCATGACTTACAGGACACCACCAATGACAGATGACACCATGAACAACAGGACACCACCTATGATAGATGGCACCATGGACAACAGGACGCCACCCATGATAGATGCCACCATGAACAACAGGACGCCACCCAAGATAGATGGAACCATGAACAACAGGACACCACCCATGATGGATGGCACCACAAATGGTGTTTCAAACAACAAGTCATCACCACAGATAAATGGCACCGCAACCAACAGGAAAACACCCATGACAGATAGAAAAACAGACCAGACAAAATCAAAAATAAATGGGATTAAAGACAAGAACTTATCATCAGGGAGAGCTACTCAGGTGTTGTCAGTTGACCATGAAGTAAGAAGTCCGACCACTCCCCCCTCTCCAGTGGGACTGATTGCTGGTGAGTACACACATAAAAACACAGTTGGGTTTGAATAGGTAACATTTTCTCTTTCTCTCTTGTGAGACGAAAATTAATTTTGAATTGATTACAATATGCTATTGCTATTGTAGGCCTATTCATCTTCTGTTAAATCACATTGCAATTTATTTTGAATACCGTTCATTTACTTTGAGATTATCAATGTTATGAAACAAGGTCTTGGTTTAGTAATTTAACCTTTTTTATTTTATTTATTTATTTATTCATTTTATTATTATTATTATTATTATTATTATTATTATTATTATTATTATTATTATTATTATATATTTTTTGCTATCTCTTTAGATGGCCGATAGATCTTCTGTATACATTGCAGAGATACAGCATTCCACCAATATGTTTGTATAAATAATGTCATGAGTTTTAGGATAACAAAATTTGTAGACTGAATAGTTATTCATTATTTTCACTTTGTGCCGTAGAATCAAGTATGAAGTACATAATACCTACAGTGGGAGTGGCTTTGACAGTGTCAGCTCTCGTTGCCATTTTGTTTGTGTATATACGAAGAAGAAACCACGGTAAGTACATATATTGGAAAAACCGGTATATGGGAGTGTGTTAGATGTGACATAATATGGGGGCAGTGTGCTACGGTACATGTACATGTAAGTGTAATAAAGAATAATGTATGTGAAACTCACAATGACACAGAACGAACATTGGTAGTTGTACATAAAGCGAGCGTGGATTCCCCATAACGTATAAACTGCTGCTATTTTCTTATACGACTCGAATAAAATCGACATGCCACGGGATCAGAAATAACGAGCTTTAAAATTGCACCTTCACATTTCTGGTCGTAAATTTGACCAAATTATCTGTCCCTCTAGTTCGTAAAAGTCTGCCAAATGACGCAGTAATGTATGGCGCATTACTGGTGCACGTCATATCATTTCCCGGGAAATATGAAACGGTGCACTATGATACGTCTTCAGGTTAGATGCTATTTGAAACTACAGTACATGTTGGCATTTGGTCGGGTTGTGAGGCAAAATTTTGTCTTTAAATGCATCTTTAAATGAAAAAAAAAGAGCAATTTGATATTATCTTACGATAGTTTTACTTTCATTAACATTTCTACATGTTTTTCCTCTCATAGCCTATGCAGATCTCATAGTAGCCGACGGAAAGCATTCCAGCCTTCCCCGACCTGGTCCTCGTGGCTCCATCTATCGAATACCGGCACAGCTTCCTGTACGCTATGACAGCCCCTTCGCCAGTCCCAACGCACCTGTGACCCGGGTATTGTTTCCAGGGGACAGAGGGAGTGGCCGAGCCAATAAGGTAGCACTATATACCTTTATATATCATGTTTCTGTAAAGAAATCGTTGAAAGATACGGCCAACCATAGTACAAGTGACGGCCGGTGTCAATGCCATCACACAATTGTGGGATTGCTTTTGTATTTTTTCCAGGCAAATAATTATTTTTAGTATATAAAGCTCTAACGTGCATTGAGCATCCTTTTTCTAGAGCCACTTTTTATTTTTTCACTAAATATGCATAGATGTGTCTCTGGCCAATTCATGACATTTTTGCTAATTTCAAACGAGAATTTTTGTATGGAATTAATTATCTCACTCAGTTGGCTTCTAGAATAGAGTACACTGTATACATTGGCGAACACGCTTCTTAAACCAAGATCTTTATTCCAGAAACCCTTTCTCCCGCCCTTCGGTCGCTGTACCACCAGGAAGAGTTCAGAATCTCACACGGTCACGACCCCCAACCGGGCCTATCGCAACCAAGACTGCCAGGCATCAGCCATCTTGGTTCCTGTCATCCCCAAATGGCTGGCTGTGAGAGAGGTTTCACTGCCCGTGTCAGGGGCCGAGGCAGCCACCGAGGCTAATGCAGAGGGCGTCGATACGGCAGAGAGCGGCGGCCAGCCTTGTTAACACGCACTTGAGACTCTCGTTTGAGACTGTGATTAAGAGATTAAATACCGCCAGTAATATGGAAAAAATCATGTTGCCAAATCACATTTTAAAAGTCAGATTTCTTGTGATAACAGCTGTACAGTCGTGACATTATCCTATGATATACATGTTATATATACCACTACATATATTCCCGTTTATCTTAATTGGAAATGTTTTTCTTAAATGTGACTGTTTATATAGACTAAAACAAAAAGGCTGACCGTATTTTTGTTGATTTCTTATTAAAATTAATTGCCTGTTATTAATTTATATTATTATACTGATATTATTTTGCTTGCATTTATATTCCATATGTATATTTTCTACACCAGCAGTTTTTTCCGTTGATTACATTATCTTTCAATTTGATCTTCACGTTGTTTGTTTGCGCTCCCCCCCCCCCCCCCCC